CATAATCATTTACTTAAATTTTTCATCATTTTATGTACTCACCATTGTTTCATTCTTTGGTTTCAACTTTAGTCTAGCCCTCTAGCTGAATAAATCCTTGGTTCTTTTAGTGAGGGTGTCTAAGTGTTATATGTGCAAATTTGCCTTTATTTTGAAGGAATTTTTTATTGATTTTTCTATAGAGAGAGGAAGATAGATAGATGATAGATTGATGTAGATAGATAGATATAGATGATAGATGCTAGATAGAAGATACATAGATAGATAGATAGATAGATAGATAGATAGATAGATAGATTGATTGATAGATAGATAGATGATAGACAGATAGATAGTAGATAGATAGAAATCCATGTGTAAGAGAAACATAGAAATATCAATCAGTTGCCTCTTGCATGGGCTCCAACTGACCAGGGACAAAACCAGCAATGTAGTTATGTGCCCTGACCAGGAATAAAACACATAGCCTTTCTGTGCCAGAGATGGCACTCCAACCAACTGAGCCATGCCATACAGAAAGAATTTTTTTGCCAAGATTAAAAATTCTAGGTCCAAGTTTACTTCTCTTCAATATATTAATACTAGAGGCCCGTGCATGAAATTCGTGCACGGGAGGGTGGGGGGCGTCCCTCAGCCCAGCCTGCACCCTCTCCAATCTGGGACCCCTCAGGGGATGTCCGACTGCCAGTTTAAGCCTGATCCCACAGGGATCCCACAGGGATCAGGCCTAAACTGGCAGTCGGACATACCTCTCGCAATCTGGGACCACTGGCTCTGAACCATTCACCTGTCTGCCTGCTTGATCACCCCTAACCACTCTGCCTGCCAGCCTAATCGCTCTCAACTGCCCCCCCACACCAGCCTGCTTGCCCTCAACTTTCCCCCCTGCTGGACTTCTCGCCCCCAACTGCCCCTCCTGCTGGCCTGATCTCCCCCAATGCCCTCCCCCCGCTGGCGTGATCGCCCCTAACTGCCTCTGCCTCACCCCCACCACCATGGCTTTGTCCGGAATGACTTCCAGAAGGTCACCTGGTCTGATTAGCATATTACCCTTTTATTCGTATAGATACCCAACATAGTTTCCCCCACACCAGCCTGCTTGCCCTCAACTTTCCCCCCTGCTGGACTTCTCGCCCCCAACTGCCCCTCCTGCTGGCCTGATCTCCCCCAATGCCCTCACCCCGCTGGCGTGATCGCCCCTAACTGCCTCTGCCTCACCCCCACCACCATGGCTTTGTCCGGAATGACTTCCAGAAGGTCACCTGGTCTGATTAGCATATTACCCTTTTATTAGTATAGATGCTTACTGCATTGTCTTCTAGACTCTTGTGTGGCTGATGAATATTTTTCTTGTATTTTAACTGTCATTTTTTGGTTAATAAGCTATTTTGCTTGCCAAAATATCTTTTTCCAACTTTTGAATTATGAAAACTTTGAGGCTACTGAAAATTTGAATAATTTTACAGTAAACATGGACTCGCAATTAGCATGTATAGTGCTTGCTTTATCTCATTTCTGTCCCTCTATTCATTTCCCTATTCATCCACTAACCGTCCTCAGCTTTCAAACATTTTAAAGTTGCAGACAATAATACACTTCCCCCAAAACACTTTAGCATGCATATCATTAACTAGATTCAATATTTGTTTGTATTTCTTTTTCTTTTAGATAAAATTTACAATGAGATGTACAAATACTAGATATTTCATTCTATGGATTCTGATTAAAGTTTTCTCCTATAAAATCCTAATTGTTATCAAGAAACAGAATATGACTATCACCCTAGAACGTAAACAGCTCTCCTCTGAGGAGGACACTTTACTATCCTGGGATAATTAAGAGGGAGATGCTCTCTATTTTATACTGGTCAGAAAACAAATTTGCCCTCTGACTTGGGGAGCTACATTAACTCTAGCTTCTAAAACTCTTTGCTATTTACACATCTTTGAAAAGATGTTCTGGGGCATGTGGAATTTCATGGAGAATTGGGTCCCAACAAATTCACCTGACAAAGCACATTCTGGCTATTTCCCTGTGAGGACACCACTCCACCAGCCAAGATTAACCTGACCCCTGGAGTCTAGTAGTATATTCATTCAAATTGTTTCCTTCAGAATTTAACAAATTTCCTAAACCATATTTTTTTCAATCTTTAATTTCTTTATTGATTAAGGTATTACATATGTGACCTCATTCCCCCTTTAAGTCCTCCCAATCATGCCGTCGCCCCCCTGGTGTCTGTGTCCATTGGTTGGGCTTATATGCATGCATACAAGTCCTTTGGTTGATCTCTTCCCCCTTATCCCCACCCTTCCCTACCTTCCCTCTGAGGTTTGACAGTCTGATCAATGCTTCTCTTTCTCTGGATCTATTTTTGTTCATCAGTTTATTTTGTTCACTATATTCCACAAATGAGTGAGAGAGCTGTTGCAAATGGTACGAGTTCCTTTTTTTTAATAGCAGTAGTATTCCATTGTGTAGATGTACACAGCTTTTTAATCCGCTCATCTGCTGATGGGCCCTTAGGCTATTTCCAAATTTTAGCTATGGTGAATTGTGCTGCTGTGAACATAAGGATGCATATATCCTTTCTGATTGGTGCTTAAGTCTCCTATAATCACCTCTATGGTGCAAATCACCATGGTTGCATGAGGGAGGCAAATGAATGCCTGGCTTTCACACAAGAAATGCAATCCCATGGGCACACATGGTGATCCTGAAAAAGAAGCATTTATAATTGTTCAGGTTCCTAAAGAGAATATATCAGCCATAAGTAGGGTTGGGTCCCCGATCACCTGTAACCTTAAAGTTTTCAGCTCTGTTCATTGTTGATGGGTTTTTGAAGGAGGTGGGGGAATCTGTTCTATTTCTCAATGATGTCCAATCTGTTATATTTCTCCATGATGTCTCCCGCAACCCTTCATCCAATGACTGAGAATCAGTGAGAGGACCGTGTCCAGAAATGTTCTGCCTGGGAGATGCTGAGGCTGGCAGCAACCCCAGATTCATCACATCTGATGGTGAATGGCAGACTCAGCATCTACATATGTGGTGGGAGAGCTAGACAAGAGTGATTTCCTTCAGGACAGTCTTGAAAGACAAATATGATTAATGCTCTTCCACCTCCCACACCTCCTAGGTGTTTCATCCTCAGGTGCCTGGGTCTTTTGCTCTTCCTTCACTACCAAAAATATGGAGGGGGGAATATATTGTGTACCATTCCATTGGCTGTAACCTCATCTCCTCATCATTTGTTCCAATAATCTCCCATTGTCACTCACATTTTTTATCCACAAGGGTCAGATACAAGCAGGGCAAAGGCATTTTCAAATAATATAATCAAAATTATATCCAAAATCTCTAGGCATTCTGAAGAGTGGGGAAGAACATGCATCCTCACCAGCAATGGTCCGAACAGAATCCAGATTTTCACAATTGGTCTATATAATGCCATTAATTCCCCACCACTTTTGTCCTTATCACAATGCAGGAAGGAGCTGATCCCTTTCTGCCTAGATTGGGGAAAGCTGCCTTCAGTGACAAAATACCCATAATAGAGAAGTGTATGGACAGGAAGAGACGAGGTCATAGAGTTAGATGATCAGAGCATTGCGTGTAGCCTTTTATAAAGGGCACACCATTGTCAGACTGTAATGGTCCAGCAAGTCATGCAATTTGCAGATTGTTCTTGAGCTTCCTCAGCTCCTCTTTTAGCTTTGGAGAAAGTTGATGTGAGTGACAAATGAGGCAAAGTAGAGAACATAAATAGCAGGTAGACACTATCTTCAGGGTTAACTCATCATTATCCTCTCCCTGAGTCAGAGCTCAAACGGGGAGATACAAGTATAGTCTCTGATATTGTCTCCAGCTATGTAACTGCACTGGAAGAGCATAGATGGAGACCTTCCTTCAGAACGTGTATGTTTCATTGTCATGGAAGAATCAGGGGAGGGGATGATTGCATTGAGAGTTACTATAGTTTTATAGAAGCCTGATATCTCTGCTCAGGCATGCTGATTGTGTGAGATTTGAGAGGTGAGATGAAAGTAGGCATTCTGTTGCTATGCATCAAAAATGCCACTGACAGAAAGACTTTGAAACTCTGAAGATTTGTGAGATAAAGTTTCCTAAGTACCCCTATGTCTTTATAGAAATCATCTCAACTTGGGAGGAAGTTGTATTTGTGCTGTTGTAAAATGAGATACAATGAAGAATCTTCTCTTTCAGGGACAAAAATGCACATGGATGAGACTGTGGATTTTAAGGATGAAATACTTCCTGTGACCTGTGGGGAGATGGTGGGCATGTTAATTAAGAGAAAATTGAAACGAGGTAAGTTTCAATGTCTACTTTCACTTATAACCCCTCCATGAAGGAATCACAAAAAGCAATGGAATTACCCATGCAAATTACCCATTGTTTAAGGAATTGGGGCCCCAGTTTTGTATTGAGAAGAGGTAGGGATCTCTAAGATGATATTTTTACACTTTAAGAAATGGTGCGTATTGGAGAAACTAAGATGGTGGCATAGGGAAACACCGAAATTGCTGCCTCCTACAACAACTTCAAAACACAATAAAAGGACAGAACGGACATCATCCAGAACTTACAGGAGGGCTGGTGGAGTGGAAATTCTACAGCTAGAAGGAAAGAGAAAAGCACACTGAGGGTCAGGAGCTGCGGAAGGAAAGTGCAGAGGTACGGAGGCTCGCACACGTGGAAAGGGG